CCCCCTCTCCCATGTCCCCCCGGAACTGTCAGTCCCGTTGTTTTCTCCTCCAGATTGTTCATCCAGCCTGTCCTATCCAGACAGGCCTGTTCTCCCACCTATTGTAAATTTCACAGGGTTTTTGAGCAAACCTCTTTTGATTTAGTATGGGCACACATCAGTTTTCCTTTATAGCTACAATATAACAACTGACTAGAACAAAACGCAAGTTTAAAGATTCGTTTGGTTAGATGTTTGTAGGAAAGACAGAAATGTCTGGATATGATTGTAAGAAAAAGACCCAAAATAACAATGTGTAGCTGAGGGTGGTAAGACTCAAAAACATCTCTCATTGTTACTGAGTGCATTTACCCTCTGAGTTTCAAACTTTGTAACTCTTTACAGGGATAGAATATCATCTCTCTTCCCTGGAATGGCTAGTGGTTTCAAACTACTGACCTTGCAGTTAGCAGCCCAAGGCGCGCCTTCTACACCACCAGGGTACTTAACATCTAGTTAAACTTTGCCGCAGCTTTGTCAGCTGCTTGTGTTGTGCATTAAAAGAACAAGCAGTGACTTGTTGTAAGAACATTTGATATTGTCATAAAAGATTAGGCATCCTAACATTGCGGCTGCAAAAATGGGTTGGAATGGAGCAAATACAGTACAATGCCACAGGACTGGGCAGTGTTGTGTTGTGTTACAGGGTCACTATGAGTCAGAGCTGACGCAACAACACATACCACCACCAACAGCAACATCAGTAGCTTTGGGGAAATGTTTTTGCTCAAGAACAAAGATCATATTTTATATTGCGGCTCATACTTTTGTCATTGCATATACAAATTCATTGTGCTTCATAGCACATTGCTTATGAAATAGAGAAGTGAAATTCTTAGCTGGTAAAATAACAAACTGTTTTTGCAAGTCCAAAGAAGAAGTCAAAGGATTGGGGGAGCATATTGGGTAAATTTTACTGAATTGCTGGAAAAAATAACTCATCATCCTTCGTTCAGGATATTGAGTTGCACCCAGATAACACCAAGTCTTCAAATAGTGCTTATCAGTGTATTTGTCTAAGATAAAACATTAATTGACAATGCCATTAAACAACAACAACAACAAAATCCAACTCCATTGCCGTCCAGTTAGATTTGACTCGCAGTGACCGCGTGTTACGAAGGAGGACTGCTTCACGGGGCTTTGCCGTCCAGTTAGATCTGACTCGCCGTGACCGCGTGTTATGAAGGAGGACTGCTTCACAGGGCTTCTTGGCTATAGTGTTTGTGGTAGCAGATCACCCAGCTTTTCTTCGGTGTTGTCACAGAATTGGGTCAACTTCCACTCTTTAAATTAATAAGCAAGGGCAGACATTTGCACTACCCGGGTCCTGATAAGACACCAATCATTAAAATAATTTTTAAAAAATAACTTTTTTATCATAATGATGTCATGCTATAGACATTTTTTGAATCACATCC